CTTGTCCTCTTTTCCACAAGCTGACCTTCAAGATAGGAGGCGAGTCAGGAGCTAGGAAGACTGAAAAATTAGGTCTCTGGACAGCTGCAGAAGTGATGTATCTAAGGGGTATTTTTCTAAATTTAAAAAAGATATACTTACAAAAATACACAAATATTGAAATATACTCTTTCCCCATCTGCCTCTCCCCATACCACTTGCCTCTTCTATAAAGTACATTCAAAACATAAATAAAAAATGATTAGGTTCTAATCAGAAATGATTAATGATTAGGTAAGTCTTGAGATATACAGATAAATTATAAGAATTTTCAACCACTAGGGGAACTCACTGGTTTTGGGCTTGTGGAAAGAAAGATCCATATAAATACCTGCACAATAAAAACCATATATACTAATTTCCTGAATGTTTGAGAATCTTTACCAATTAGAAAGTGCTCTTATTTTATTGGGATGGTGGAGAGGGATGATAAGAACCCCTTTAAATTGGATTTATCCAGTAGCCTGACAGACAGGACAGTCGTCTGCTTCAGGACTGGGTCAGTTCAGACCCAAACTCAAAATCCAATGCCTTTCTGGGTTACATCTGGGTTAAGATATAACAGGAATAGAAACTCAGTCAAATCCCATACTAAGGTTAGATTGTGCCCATCATTCTCTACTCCAGTAGATTTTAGAAAGATTGCCATCAACAAAGATTAAATTACGAACCTTGAGTTACCCCCTTTCGATGGGCCCTTTGAGTTAGTCTAAGCCTTGGTAGAATCTTTTTCCATTTGGCTGACATCCACTGATGCTGGGATTTGAAGAAGACATTGGGAATAGATGTTAGATTTAGAGCATTTTGAAGTCAGAGGGATCCTCAGACCTCATTTTACAAAGAAATAAATGAGACTCAGAATAGAAGGTCAGACTCCAAAGATTCTTTGTCTGAATATTCTCAAGATGGGAACTTAATGGTGTGCGGAGGCTTTGGGAAGTGACCAGAGCTCAGCCTTGAGAACAGCCATAGAGAGGCAGCTAGGACATAAAGCAAAGAGCATTGGATTTGGAATCAGAAGACCTTGGTGTAAAGCACCACCCCTTGTCACTTAGTAACTGTGTAGCATTGGATGGGTCCTTTGTTTCCTAATTTATAAAATAAGGCGAATGAAGACACAAGGTTACCATGATAACTAAGTGGAAATACTACTCATGAAAAATGGCTAAAATTTAGTCTCCGCCCACTTCATACCAGTGGATGATCCTGACATGTTAATTGTGTCTTCTTTTTGTTTGCAAAGTCACTGGCATTAGCCCTATTTTACAGATGAGGTCACTCAGGCCCAAGATGTTTAAAAACTTGCTCAAGGCCATTCGGCCAGTAGATGATGTTGCCTGGTTAGGACCTATATCTATGGAACCCCAAAAGTGCTCCCTTGTTCCCTGACACTTAGTGTAGCACATGGCAGATGTTCCAGAAATGTTTCATGAATAAATACCTGTTGTGAGGAAATATATCGAAGAAAACGAAGACACCAATTTCATTTTCCTGAGAAGCTTTGTAAACTTCTTAAAAGAAATGTGCACCAAATAAATCACTCCCAAAGGCCTTTTTAAGCCAGAAAAAAAAAAAAAAAAGCAAAATCATTGATACTGTGAATGTTGAGATTTACTCATTCAGGAAACATCCTTTGAACCCATGTAAAGTCATTCTGCGAAGCACTGATTCATGTATCTGACATAATAGTTTTAAAAGGTCGAGGTTGCCTTTTTATGGGACATATATATGCTTTATGGACTGATAGGGCTTCTTTTGTAATTCATGTGGACAGTGTATTTATCCCTGTTTTATGGGATTTAAAATTATTACAGAAGAGGTTTATAGTTTGTATATACTGTATTTTGCTTTAATGTTTACATTTGGCCCCACCTACAAAATGCCAAATTCTTGATCAAGACTGTGAATCCTACATTTTTTACTACATTGTTTCTGCGGGAATAAATACGATCGCCTTTTAATAATTTACTTTAAAATATGCCTACGTTATGGGGGAGGGGGAACATTCCATAGCTCCTCACCTGCTACAGGGGGAAGGGAGGGGAGAAGTAGGGTGTGGGTGTTGTCTTGCCTCATTTAGTTTTATATGATCCCAAGGTTTAAAAATTAACTCCACTGCTTTCATTGATAGTCCGGAGTGGGTGTGGGGTCGGCAGGGGTGCGAGGCAGTGGGGAGAAAAGAGGGATGGGTTTGCAACATTTTGTGATAAAAAGTATCTCCAAAGGAGTTCAATTAAAAAAGAAGACAATGGGGCACCTGGGTGGCTCAGTTAGTTAAGCATCTAACTTCGACTCAGGTCATAATCTCAAGGCTTGTGGGTTCAAGCCCGGAGTCGGGCTCTACACTGATAGCTCAGAGTCTGGAGCCTGCTTCGGATTCTGTGTCTCCCTCTCTCTCTGCCCCTCCCCTGCTCATGCTCTCTCTCTCTCTCTCTCTCTCTCTCTCTCTCTCTCTCTCTCAAAAATAAATAAACATTAAAAAAATAATTATATTAAAAAATAAAAAGGAAGACAATGAAGGCTAGCAGAGCATTTTAGGAGTTAGGCTTCTAAAGCATGCTGGAAGTAAAAATTGACCTGAAAAATCCCATAGGCACAGAGTGAGGCTACATTTTTTTTATTCATTACTTACATATAAAACCCAGTGGTCATCCCAACAAGTGCCCTCATCCCCATCAACTTTGTTTGTTCTCTGTATTTAAGAGTCTCTTATGGTTTGCCTCCATCTCCATTTTTATCTTATTTTTCCTTCCCTTCCCCTATGATCATCTGTTAAGTCTCTCAAATTCCACAAACGAGTAAAATCATGGGATAGCTTTCTCTGACTGACTTATTTCACTTAGCATAATACCTTCCAGTTCTATCATTGTTGCAAATGGCAAGATTTCATTCATTTTCATACTGACTTGTACTCCATTGTATATATATAACCACACCTTCTTTATCCATTCATCCATTGAGGGACATTTGGGCTCTTTCCATACTTTGGCTATTATTGATAACGCTGCTATAAACATTGGGGTGCATGTGCCCCTTCAAACCAGCATTTTTGTATCCTTTGGATAAATTCCTAGTAGTGCAATTGCTGGGTCATAGGGTAGTTCTATTTTTAATTTTTTGAGGAACCTCCACTCTCTTTTCCGGAGCAGCTGTACCAGTTTGCATTCCCACCAGCAGGGCAAGAAGGTTCCCCTTTCTCCACATCCTCGCCAACATCTGTTGTTTCCCGAGTTATTGATTTTAGCTACTCTGACCGGTATGAGATGGTATCTCATTGTGGTTTTGATTTGTATTTCCCTGATGATGAGTGTTGTTGAGCGTCTTTGCTTGTGTCTGTTTGGAGAGGGGCTACATTCTTAAGAGGTCTGTGGTAACTAAAACCATCCAAGGGACAGCAAATTTGCATCTCCCACCTTGTATCAGAACTAGGATTTATGGTCACTGAGACCTGAAAGATACCTGCCCTGTTGAAATCGGGTCAAGCTGGCACAGTTGAAATGCCATCAGTTAAATGTGTATGTGGCACAGCTCTCTCCCTGAGTTCCTCACCCAGCAGAGTGGCACCTATGAGTGGTTTTCATATCATGTTCCTTGTTATAGCTGAGGGTCCAGAGCAAGGTAAGAGGAGTCACCTCCTCACTGGAAACCACTGATACGCACCAAAACTGCTGCCTTTCACCTCTCTCTCTTCCCTCTCAATGTGTTTGGGAAATGTTACTTAGTTTCTCTGGGTTTGGTCTCCTCCTGTGTGACGTGAAGGTATTAGGCTAGATGCTCTAAGTATAAGATACTTCACTGAGAACCAGCTAAGTCACAGAAATTTTGAAACATTGTTGTCGGCATAACTCTGGTTTCACTGGTACTGAATCCTAGTAACGGTACATTCGCCACTTACATGCCTGGAGTTACTAAGATAACAAGGAAATCTAACTCAGGAGCCATGTTTCCTTTAGCTTCTTCATTAGTGAATAAAACAGAAATAATGACCCCAGTGACAGAACACAGGGGGATGTGCCATAGTCTCTATTCCAGGGGATTCTCTTTCCTAGAACAAAATTACATTATTTACTGAAGATATTTTTATCTCGACAGAAAATGAATAAAATGTGTATCTTAGCAGTTGGCTAACATTTCTTCAGTGATTGTTTGGCTCTTTAAAAAAAATTTTTTTTTAACACTTTGTTTTATTTTTTGAGAGACAGAGTCAGAGCAGGGGACGGGCAGAGAGAGAAGGAGACACAGAATCTGAAGCAGGCCCCAGGCTCTGAGTTGTCAGCGCAGAGCCTGATGCAGGCCTCGAACTCACGAACTGCGAGTTTATGACCTAGGCCAAAGTCAGATGCCTAACCGACTGAGCCACCCAGGCGCCCTGGCTCTTTCTTTTATAGAAACATTATTCTTTTAAAAAAATTATCTTGGATCAATCAGTCTTTTAGGTGATTTGGAAAGAGGCTGGGCTTTGTGATACAGAGCTTTCAAAGGAGCAAAATCTGAGCTGGAGCATTTTAGTGTGGCTCAGAAGCAGCATTCTAAAATATCTATTATCTGACATCTTAATTAAAACATTTGCAGGTACTTTCACAACAGCTAATAGAGATTTTGACATTGGTAGCCAGTGTCAGATTATATGGTTTATGAACAGGCGCCCTTGCATGCCCTTGCTTTTGCTTCACACTTTCCAAAACATCTCTTTATCCTCAACATTTGCCTCTTTGGCTGTTTTTCCCATAGCTTCCAGATGCTTCCATCACCTGATTTCTTCTTAGGCCTGAGGAATTTGAGCAAATCAGGGCTGAGTGTATCAGGAGCGCCCTCTTGAGGACAGACTTGTTGAAGGAAAACTAAACTCATTCGCTTTGACACTGCACATTGTTACATCTCAAGGCCAAGGGTGAAGGAATGGATTTTATGAGACGTGAAAGTCAATTAATTTTTTGTTTTCTGGATTTTACTTCCATTAGGTCAGCCACCATCCACCTATCTCTGCATGTCACGCTGAGTCTGGAAATTTTGTTTTCTGGCAAGGTAATGTGCTATTATATTTGGCCTCCATCGTTTTTTGTAATGTTATAGATTTGTTTTAATCAGGAACTATGGCAAGTGCTTGTTAAGATCAAAAGTATGCCCTGGACGTGGGCTTTGTTGGATAGATTTACACCACTTGGTGTTCATGCCTTCATCTCTGAACAGTTACTGATGTTTGTCTACTTCATAATTAAGGATTCAGGAGGATAATTTAAGTTGTTCCCTTAAAAAAAAATTTCCATCTATGTCTAGGCCACCACCATTTTATTCCTGTAACTTTTTTCTCTAATTCCACAGCCACTTGAAATGCCTTGTGTATTTCAAGAGACACTAAATACTTACAGGCATTTATCAGAGTCTAGACAACAGGGTTCTTTTTGCTTTTGAAAAATTTAATTTTTTTTCTAAACATCACATTTTATTATTTAAAAAATTTTTTAATGTTTTTATTTATTTTTGAGACAGAGAGAGACAGAGCATGAGCAGGGGAGAGACAGGGAGAGAGGGAGACACAGAATTGGAAGCAGGCTCCAGGCTCTGAGCTGTCACCACAGAGCCTAACACAGGGCTCGAACTCACAGACTGTGAGATCATGACCTGAGCTAAAGTCGGACGCTTAACCGACTGAGCCACCCAGGCACCCCTAAACATCACATTTTATATTGCTGACTTTTTTTTAGTTGGGGAGTTGTTGTCCCTATATTTAGTTTATATTTTGGATTTGGGAGGAGGGTGGGTTGTTCTGAAGAATAAATAAGACTGAAAATATTTCCTAAATGGATTAATTAATTTTGTTAAGTTATATATTTATTCAAAAGGCAGAGTGTACTTTAGGAGGAGAATTTGAACATCCTGGGTTTTCAAACAATGATTTTCAAACAATGAGCACACATCAGTTTTTAAAGCATTTTTCTCTGCTCACAGTGATAACACCTGAGTTACCACATCGCCTTTTCAAAAAACCCTATAAAAGTTAAAAGATATAAAAGAATATTTTGCAAAAATAATAATAATAATAATCCCCCCCCTCCACCCCAATCCCCAGCCACTCAGTTCCTCTCTCTGGAGACAATATCGCTTTAGGTTGCAAGTACTGTAGTTCCCTTTCGGAACCTTTGCCATTAAAGTTTAGAATTGAAGCTTGATTAGAAACTTCTCTAACTTTCGGGGCGCCTGGGTGGCGCAGTTGGTTGGGCGTCCGACTTCAGCCAGGTCACGATCTCGCGGTCCGTGAGTTCGAGCCCCGCGTCGGGCTCTGGGCTGATGGCTCGGAGCCTGGAGCCTGTTTCCGATTCTGTGTCTCCCTCTCTCTCTGCCCCTCCCCCGTTCATGCTCTGTCTCTCTCTGTCCCAAAAATAAATAAACGTTGAAAAAAAAATTTAAAAAAAAAAAAAAAG